AAAGTCATAAGTTAAATGTATAGATGATTCTCCTAATTCAAAAGTCCTTCGATTGATATGCCTTCATTCAATAATTGGGAAATGTAGTAAGAAAAGAATGACAAGCTTTATTAGCTGCAAATAGAATGAATAGTATTCATTGTCTTATTCAGTTGATGTAGACAAAAACAACTTTTGATATAAATTAAAAACTTACAGGAATGATAATATTTTTCTTCTTTTTTTTTGTAAGAGTAAATAAAATGTTAATACAATTTTTTTAATAAATTTAAAAATATAACTTATTTCATTGAAAATCCCGTGCGAGGGCACGGGTGGTTTATAATTGTTAAAGATAGGCACAGTTGGTTCCAGGCATAGGGAAGAAAAGCTCACATTCATTTATTATGAGGATGTAAACCGTGAAAGCTAGTCAATCTTCTCCATCGTGGGTAAATCCAGGGAGCTGGGTTTGGGTAAAAAGTATAAAAGAACTGGTGGCTGTCTGAATACAAGCAATCGATGGGGGAAACAGCAAAGCAAGGTGTTATGGCCAAAACAGTGGCAGAGCTGCGGCCCTCCATGTCCACCACAGATTAGTTTCTATTACGAGCGCAAGTGGCATAGATGGAAGCCATTCGTCGTCGATTCAAAGCAGCGCGGAGTTTTGGGTGCATGAGAAATGGTTATTGCAACTGGGATTATTAAATGATGATGATAACCAGCTGCCAGGCATGAACATTGCCTTATTGGGACAGGTGGGAGCACAATAAGATGTGCTTCCAACAGAGATAAAATTGGTGAAGGACGAGAGCCACGTGAAAGAGCTTAGTTTGTTCATACCGCAGTTGGTGGCCAAATTTCGACTGTCAATGACGGATTGGATGACTATGAGGGAAGAAGAACAATGGTTCAGAAGCTGCTACTTCAAGTTATAATGTTGTCTAGAAATTGCCTACGAAGGAGGGATGCTATGGGAGGACCTGCTTACTAGGGAAGCTGTTCAAACACACCTACTGGGGAAAGATAATAAGCTGAGGTATTATGTCCCTAATAAGGAAGCATTCATAACCAGAGTGGAGACAAAATGTGATGTTGCCACAATGCAACTGAGTTGTGGTTCCTTATCAATTGTTCCTTTTAAGGATATGTATTTCATAGTAGAAGTATAGGCCACTAGAAAAATAATGGAAGATTTGGTTATAGGAAGCTTTAAACCTTGCTCTACTTTAATTTGGAATTGGAGGAATTCCCAAAGGGAGCAATTACCAGAGATAGTGAAGGACTTTTATACAAGGAATTTGGCAAACATAATGTTCTTGTTTAACACGGGGATGAATGGAGATGGAATCCTTAAAGGGATGGATGCGCAACTGCCATATGACATAGAGTTTTAGATGTAAGAGCAGGGCTGAGGTGGCCGGGTGACCGTGCTATGGAACAGTCATACTATGACCCTAATGTGTGGAAGTTGAAAAGTGGGAATAGTGTGTAAAACCTGGATTTCCGTAATTAGTAGGTATGATGAGGATGAATCATGGTGAGAAGAAGCTAGATGCGTTGTGTTAAGGGTCCCCTGTTTGAAATAGAAGCATTTGTATTTCAGAGTGTGTTAAGTATGGTCAGGTTAACATTGTTTTTCCTTATTCTATATCTTGCTTCTACGAATGCTTAGTGGGTAAGTAGTTTGTAATGGATTATGTAATGTTACCAGCAATGAAATTGTGGAATATGTTTAGCACTCATGGTGGTCCAGACAAATGTCACAAATGTTTATGTGAAAAAATTGATAATCATTAGGTGAAGCTTAAAGGCGTTGAACAATTGTTGCTTTTGTCCAAATTTGAACAGTGCCACTTAAAACACAATTTTTCACAAAAGAATGAGTCAAGGGGGGCATGGAGAAGAGGGAGGAAACAAAGGAAAGGTTAATGTTGTGGGTGGCCGTTGAACCTAGGACATTAATGACAAAACAGCACCAGGTCGAGTTGGTTAGCAAAAGGCGAATATGTACACGAAAAATAATTGTTCATAATGTGGAAGGAAACAAAAGAAAGGTAATTAAAGCAGGAAAATATGGATGTAATTGAGGGGTGAGGTGAAAGGAATGGTTGAAGTTTTTTAAAACATGTCGATGACAAAATTGTATCATACAACAAATTTTCATAGAAATAAGACGTATTGGTGGTTGGATAAGATGTACGAATGACATATAAAAAGAGGAAGTGCCTGGTACAGAGGGTATAGAAGGGAAAAATACTAGGACGATAAGCAAATATAGTTTATTAAAGTACAAACCTATGCTTTTCTTGTTTTTAAAATACGTAATAGGTATAAAACTTTAATTTGGAGGGAAATAAAAAAAAAGCTACATGTAAATAAAAACTCTTTTTTTTATAAGCAGGCATACTTCAACTATCCAATTAACAATCACTTCCAATCTCAGCCATCAAATGTGCCACGTCACAAATAAGTAGGAGGTCCCTAATCTCTTAAATCAAAAACAAATAAATTAAAAAAAATAAAGGAATAAATTTCTTTATTTTTAAAACATCGAATTCTCTCAGCATAGCAACCTGATATATCAAACAATGAGGTCATAATTTCATCAAATGCTTGGATGATGCAGTACAACATGAAAGGGAGAAAATTTTTCTCCATTAAGCAACACAAGAAAGAAGAAAGAACAGGACTACAAAATTGTAATTACAAAAGAACAATGCCGTTATTCTATAGTCCAAAAAGAAAAATATATATATATAAAATCAGCTCTCATGGGGGAAAAAAAGCCCAACTTGAGGGATTTCCTATCTGTCTCAAATTACTGGTGCATGATAAGTTGCAATGGTTGGAGAGTTGAAGGTAAAAGACAGATGGAGGAATAAAAAACAAAATTGTATTTGACTGGGTTTTAATCTTGTATACCAATACTCTGTTATTTTGTTAGGAAGTTGAATAATTCAATCTTTTAGTTGGGATTAAAATCAAGTATCCTCTACTTCAAACTGTATTCTTCCCAGGTTTCATTGAACGCTACACTTAGTCTCTAGTTCATATCACGAGAATTCAAGTTTTAAAAAATGGAATAATGGTCTAGTTACTTTAAATACATGGACTTCGGAATTTTAATTTTTGTCTTTTAGTAGGGCTTTGATAATCGGTTTTCAGTGAGTCATTGTGCCAATGTGAGTGAGGCAAATAAGGAAGTGATAATTGATGGGAGAGTGTCGAAGTAGATGCTGTTAACATTACTAAATTTGTTTTTCTTGATTTTAGTATACAGTATTTGACATAAAATGGTTAGTTTACAGGTATGTGGAGGAAATAGAACTTCTAACCACAGAAGTTGAAAACTCATAAATCTGTGCTCAATTAGCTAGTTCATAGAATTGGTTGAACCATAAAATAGGTTCTTCATTGCATATGGTGAACAAGTTATAATAATAATAAGCTTTGCAAGCTAACTGATAAATATAATGTATACAACATTGTAAATGAGATAAATAGAGAACAATATTATTTATAAATTAAAGATGAAAATATAAAAATAAGTTAAAATATAATTTAATTAAGATAATGATACATAATAAATAAAGCACCTTTGCATGAACACAATTCAAAATAGAGTGAAAATTTGTTTAGACTTAACTTTTGGATACCAATGAAAGTAACATGAAATAAAAACTATATAAAATTACCACCAGGACGAAACTGTCTGCAACGTACTAACAGTAATGGGTGGAACATGGAGAGGTCAAAGTCCTACTAATTCAGTAAAGGGTAGGTTCAATTCAAGGCATGACTAGGCTAATGGACGTGATTGATGTTAACTCAATGTACTCCAAGAGGGTGGTGAATTGGAGTTGAAAATTTTTCACCTCTTTGCAACCACCAAACAAAAATCAAAGAGCGAGTAGGGAAGAAGGGCTTGCACAATGATTTTATAGAGGTTCGGTCCAACCACTTGGAACCTAGTCTACCTTGGCTTCACTCACCAAGGATTTCCTCTATACTCTCCACTAACAAAATCAAACGTGGCTTAAAGGAGCCACTCAATCCTTTTATAAAAAGAAGGGTGTTTCTCTCAAATCTCACCCATTTACAAAATAAACCCAAACAATCCTTTCTACAAATCACTCTTGAAGGAATAATCACACCCCCAAGATCACTCACAAATAGAACAAGAAAAGGATTACAAGTAAAGATCTCTCAAAGATTAAAATCTTAAGTTAAAGCACAAGTTGGTAAGTATAGATATTCAATACAATGCTCTTCAAACTTCTTCAAGATCTTCTACCAACCATATTTATAACCCCATGGTAAAAAATAGCTGTTACTAGCCATTGGGGGTCATTTAATGCTTTACAGGTCGCTTAATTCTAGTTGCAGAATTATCAGCACAACCGGCTTACACTTCTAGAGCCGACTCTACAGCCGACTCTACAGCCGGCTTAAGGAAATCTATAGCTGGCTTAAGGATTTCCTATACATTCTGTTTTCTCCATAGAGCCAGCTATAAAATGTAAAGTCGGCTTTGCGGGTTTCTTGGGCATTCTGTTTTCTTGAACAGTCGACTGCAAATCATAAAGCCGACTTTGGGATTCCAACTTTAAACACATTAAATAATCTTCAAATAACTCGACTCTGATGCATTAAATGCACCCTCACAGCCGGCTACAAAGTCAAAGCCGGCTTAGCATTCGTTTTTCAAGCGTGCCAAACAACAGACTTGAAAGTTTCACCTGTAGAGCCGGCTCTTAAAAGCTGCAGCCGACTCTCTACATTTTTGCCTTCTAGAGCCAACTGCACATTTTCTTAAGCCGGCTCTCTGCAAATTTCAGCCTTTTGGTCCATTTTTAATGCAGTCTAAGCTCACTTACTTTGCAATCTTTTGACATTTTAACTACACACTTAAATGAACCAATTAGTCACTCAAATGTGTTTTGTAATCATCAAAATCATAGGTACAACAATTGAGATGATGTTATCTTTGGTGGAAGAAAAGGGATTTTTCTTTTTCTTTTTCTTTTTTTTCAGATTTGAAATGCAAAATTGCAAGGGGCAGGAAACAGAGAATGTAGTTTGGGAAGGAATGGGCAAGAAAGAGTTGCATCGACAAGGAAGAGAAATGGACTCAATTTTCAAAAATTAAGTGAAAACTGAGTCCAGACAGTTGCAATGGAAGAGGAATGAATGCATGATGGAGATGGTTGGAAAGAAGATGATAAAAAGAGAACAAAGCAAGGGTTAGGAAGGGAAACAACTGTCAACTATGAGTGAATTAAAGGTAACTGAAATTAAGTGCCAGTTTACAAAGACAGAGGAAATGGGATAAACTATACATGAAAATTTAATAAAATTGATGGGAATGTGAATGAAAATCTGCACATAATGTAGGTGAGGTAATGAAGTATTATGACAACACTACAACATGTAGTGTATACAATGATAGTATTTCAGGATTTTGCAAAAGAAAGAGGTTTAGAAAATAATGAAATAGGTTGATGGGGATACAATTACAATATAAAATTTAATATTTATTACTGCTCATGGAAATAGAGGATTTAAAACAATTGGATAATGGAATTTAGTCAAGGTGTGTTAGGGAATTTCTCCTCAAATTAAATGTAATAATGCATAAAACAAAAGGATAGTGTTGAAAGAGAATGGGAGGGAAAATACATAGGGAAGCTAGCAACGGTTTTCATAAACCATTTCTATGCATAGAAGCAATTAAAGCAATGTAGGAAGACCAATAGGAGAGGAGAATGGAAGTCTGAAAAGAGTTTGGCACAAGGTTTAGCTGGAAAAGGTTCACTACAATGAAGGTAATAGGTTGAAACCATTAGATTAAAGTGGTTATAATATTTGTGATTTAGGAGTTGCAATTTTGAAAGAGTAACAAGAAATTTGTTTATATATTTATTGAATTATTATGCAATTGTAACATGTGATTTCATTAAAGTAGACGGATGACTTGAGTGAAGAGACTAGGCTTGAAGGTAAATGAAGTGAAGTGTTGCATGAAAAAGCAAGATTACTTCCAATACTAAAAAAATGAATGGGCAAGGATGTAGTAACAAATAGTTGAGATGAGTATAGTGGAGGTGTCAATGGGGACAAGGTGATGGTGTATAGGAAATAAAAAAAGTGGTGTCTGTGGGAGTGGTTAGGCTAAATGAGAGGGGAGGCAATGCACAGAGTCAATGGGAACATAAAATAATTATGTAAATAAGGAACTAAAAAACAGGGGAGATGGAAGAATCAAATGAGATTCAAAGATTCAGACCAACCAGGGGCAAGTTCATGACATTTCAGATTCTACTATCCTACAGCTACTATCGTGCAATGTTCCTAACAGTGTTGGTGAAAATAGTTAGGTCTTATTGCCATCGTGGCGTAGTGAGTACAATGATAGAGCACGAGGTGAAAATGCAAGCAAAATGGGCATCTCTATGGTTGGAATGTTGTTTGAATTCATACAGAGTGTGCTAGAGTTCTATAAGACATATGGAAAAGTTAAGGCATTTACAGTTTCAATTAGAAATTCAACATTAGCAGCAATTGGGACATAACAACGTGTGAGACTAGTTTGTGCCCTGACTTATGCTTGGGAAGGGTATCCAAGGAGTAAGAGAGGAAGGAAGAAGGGTTCAATATTTGCATCCTAAAAGGTTGGATGCAAAGCAAAAATGTCTTTAGTTCGATTAGGACAAGAAGATGGAAATATATATCGTAAACATGGTGATCTTAAAACACAACCATGAGCTCAGCCCATCAAAAGGCAAGCATTTTAGATGCAATAAGGGGATTTCATTGGGGGTGAGGAGAACACTTAAGGTGAATGATCATGCAGGAATAAGGGTGCATAATAACTACACAAGTATAGTATAGGAATATGGTGGAGTTAAGAACATGAGATTTAATGAGCGAGATTGTCAAAATTACTTGGATCACCAAAGACAGTTGTGGATTGCTAAAGGTGATGGCGAGGCCATTTGGAGGTACTTTAAAGTCTTGAAAAGTCAAAGTTCGAACTATTTCAGTAGGATAGAAGTGGATGCGGATCGTCGTCTCAATAGCTTGTTCTGGGTTGATGGCCAGACCAGAGCAGCATACCAATACTTCGATGATGTTCTTCCGTTTGATACAACCTATCTTACCAATAGGTAAAGCTTTAGGCATAGAAACTGTCAAGATTCATTGTTGCATTTTATAATTTAAACTGAAAAGCCACAAAAGCAGACTTCAACTTGAATCTTTATTTGTTCATTTTTAGGTGTAAATGCTTATCTAGTTTACTTCATTATGTAGGTATGACATGTCATGTGCTGCATTTTCTGGAGCAAACAACCACAGCCAAACAATAATGCTTAGTTGTGGGTTGATAGCTAAGTTGTGGGTTGATAGCTAATGAGACAGTTGAATCATTCGTGTGGCTGTTTTCTGCTTGGCTTGAGTGCATGAGGGCAAAAACCAAAGGGGATCATCATTGATCAGTGTAAAGCCATAAGGAACGCAGTGTAGATGGTGTTTCCAAGAAAAAGGCATTGATGTTGTTTATGGCAAATACGTAAAAAATTTCTCCAAAAACTTGCTGCTTTGAGCACATACAAGCAGCTGGAAAAAAGATTCTCCAAGTTACTATATCATTACAATGACAGAAAGGAGTTTGAAGATGAGTGGGCAACCATGATTGCATTACATTGATTAGAGGATAACGATTGGTTGCAACAATTATATGAGGAGTGGGAGATGTGGGCCCCAACCTTTTTGACTGATGCCTTTTGGGTAGGAATGGCTTCAACACAACGAAGTGAAGGACTCAATGCTTTCTTTGATGATTATGTTGATGGACAGACAAGACTAAACACATTTGTGGAGTAGTATGCAATTGCACAGAGGAGGAAGGTGGAAAAGGAGGTAAAAGTAGATTTCCAATCATATAAGACAGTTCACTGTGTTACAAAATTGGGTATGAAAAGCAATACGAAGTTACATACACTAACTCAAAATTCATAGAAATACAAGGTGAGGTTCAAAGAATAATAGGAAATTTTCTTGAAGAAGTTAGTGAAGAGGATGGGTGAAGTGTCTTAATGTGTGAGGATGGAATGGATAGGCTAGAAAAGGTGCAATATAAGGCAGGGGAAAATGAAGTAAGAAGCATATGCAAGGCTTTTGAGTTTAGAGAAATAATATGTGTCATGTGTTTGTTGTCTTACTAAAAGAAAGAGTGAAAAAGGTTAACAGAGTATACATTCTAGATCGTTGGCACAAAGATATAAAACAAACGTATAATTACAAGAAGTTTTACTCGATGGCTAATGATAAAAGGCCTGAGATGCAAAGGTACAAGGAGTTGCATCTTGTGTTCTTGCTAGTGGTGGAAATGGCACCTGAGGTGCTAGAAAAGAGTACTTATGTCAAGGAAAATGCAAATGAGAGGGTTACCCACATGAATTCACGGAAGAAAGAAAAGCAAAAGGAAATGGGTAATTGTGATTTTATGAAAGGGTCAACATCGAAGTGGGGAAGGAAACATGGAGGAAATGTGACAAGTGGAATAGGTGTTGACTCAATGTACTCCAAGAGGGGGGGTGAATTGGAGTTCCAAAAATTCTCCCCTTTTTGCAACCACAAAACCAAAATTAAAGAGAGTAGA